TGTACTTCGAAACGTCGTCATGCGTATTTGTATTAAATTATGAGAAAATTCTGAATATTTTTTCATTATGGATATTAATTTTCTCCAAATATCGGCCTCATCAATCATCAATTGAATTTCATTTTATCAATTGCATTATATTATATTTTATATTATATTATATTAATATTAAAAAATTAATATCCATAATGAAACTATATTCAGAATTTTCTCATAATTTATATAATAATATAAAATATATAATATATATTTTTTTATATAATTATATATATAATATATTATAAAATAAAGTTCGAAAAACGTATCGAATAATTTGTAGGTCCGAAGAAGCCACCTCAAAAAATTCGTTAATCCGAATTAGCCACCACTTCGAAGTAGCCACAGAATATTTTTTTAGTCCGAAAAATCCACCCTGTTGTAAAACGAAGGTCACAATTGTCAAATGGAAGTATGTAAAACAAGAAAGAAGTAATTTCGTTACCACTTTACAGATCCCACAATACGGAATCAGCATGGAGAAACTACGAGTGGACTTCTGAGAGTCAAAATCAGAAGTTCACAGAAACCTCCTTATAGAAGATAAACTGATAAATTTTTCATTTGATTTCATAATTTTCATTGCGGTAGAACCACGGTTGAGTACCTACTTAAATTCTCGGTTCGGGTTCTAGGAAGAATAAGAGCAAATTCGTGTTTCGAAAAAAATGTTTTCTTTAATCTTTAAACTAAAATCGAAAACAAAAATTTGAATATAAATGACTTTTCGATACTCGTTCATGATTTATTTTCGGTTTGAAAATCTCATATCACTTCGAAATCAATCTAAGGATTCTCATACTTTTCAGTAGCAGGCTCGTCCCGTGAAAAAATTGCAGAGATTGCGAAAATAGGCTAAACAAGATTTTTCTAACATTTCTAGCAAGAAATATAGTTCGCAGCACGGGCATACGTTGAAGAAGATAACAATTTTCGAGAGTTACTTCGTTGTTGTCGTATACGTAAGGAAATTGAACACTTTAGAATTTCGAATGACTTTTCAGAAGGATTTTCTCGCAGAGATGTATGAACGTAATTTCACAGGTTGAGAGTTTCCTTCAGGTGCCAAGTGGTGAAATTTCATATTTAAATACCGAGAAAATTGAAAAAAGCTTCAAATTTGAACTGAATTCAATGACACTACAAATAAATCATGTCATTCAAGAGTCAGCTGCATAAATGGAAATGTATTGAGATTTCCAATCTATTTTATGAGATTATTGAATGAATGTGATGTATTTTGAGTGTGTGAGAAAGTATTGAATGTCATTACTGCATTATTGAAACTTCAAATTAAGTCGTTCGGCCTTGTCCTTTTCAGTCTTCATAGGTTGGTTTGATTTTCAGTTGAACTATTAGTTGGTTCATGGGTCTTTCGTTTCTGATGGTTTTTTCTTGAGATATTTTGAATCTCAGTAGTGACTTGTGAGACTTTAAAGTAATTTTAGATCGTGAGCTTGGAGACGTACCCAGGGACCGTCAAAAAATATCCAGTCTTCATCGTTTATCAAATGCGACATTTTTCAAGAGCAACATTCAAAGTCTTCAATTGACAACGGTCACTTTTAAATTGTGATAACTGTTTAATGAGCTTAAAATGATTCATTCATCTTTATATTGAAGAAAGTCTCCAAGTTGCAGTACATAATGTTATAATTGTCATATTTTTTCGTCAGAGTTTTGTTTTCTGAGGTTAAGTTGGTACTCTTTCGTCCTAATGTTAAGTAGGTCGATTGTCATGTTGTTCTTTGTAAGATGATTGGAAAGTTCACCTGAAACTGGAAAAAAAGTTGACTGGTATTTTTTTTTGAAAAATTATCAGATATTAATTATTATCAAGATAGGGGACGTGTTGAGACGTTCATCAATTATATACTTTTTCTTCTATGGAATTTTGTTTGAGGCAAAGAATAAGTATCCAGTGTTTGGAATTATTTGATGATCGTTAAATTCTTCTGGCATTGTTAGTTATTTGGAATTTGTGACCAGAAGAAGTACCCTTTAGGGGATACACAGTACACCGCACACTACATCTTTGCGTAAGTCCAGGTATTTTCAGTTTAGTTTTGATTATTTTTTTCATGGAGGCTTTTGTTTCAGGGTTTTCGTTTTTGTTTTCATTTTTACGTTTCCTTTTGGATTTCTCCGTTTTGTTCTCGAGTAATGGAATTATGAGAAAATGAGAATCACCGTTTGGAGAAGGTTTTTTAGAAGATCTTTGAGCCTGAAGCTGGAAGTTTGAGTACCCTTGGTGTGCTGAGAGTATTCCAGTACATTGTTTGAAGAGACATTGTAATATTTGATTTTATATTTATTTTATTAACCTTGAGATTACTTTAACTTAATAACTGTTCAATTTATATGCTAAAGATTCCTTTTTTTATTTAAACATTCATTATATATATTTTTTTCATTGTGACGATTAAGTCCTCCGAGCTAAGAGAGAAGTAATTTATCTCTTATTGGTTTCGTTTTCTCTCTTTAGTATTTAAATTTATTAATTTTGTTTTATTTTCAATTTATATATATATATATATATATATATATATATATATATATATATATATATATATATAATCAATATATCATTTATTGAACCAAGTGGATATAACTGTTAGGGAGAACTAAGATTAAGAACTGTTAGATCTGGTGGTGTTTTTTGATCCTCCAGAAAACCAATCGAATTGTACCGATAACTTTCAAACCTCTGGCGCCTGGCATTAAATGTTTCTTACTTAATTAACCCACCCCATCTTCACTGAGGCTGTGGTACAATTCATTAACTCCCAGTTCTCGCTGAGTATTCACATAGGATTTGAACCAGAGGTTAATCGCAGGTATACATCTTGTGTGTGTGAGGTCGAAGATGTATACAAATCTTTAACTAGATAGGAGAAGTAGGTTATAAGTATAATGTCATAAGTTCGCATATTCCACTTCCAATATTCCACATATTGCATAATGGCAATGAAGGACATGTGTCATTTTGTTTGTCCTGTTAATTCTAACAAGATATTGATAACTTGAGGTTATGTAAGAAAGAATGAGGTTATGTCTGAGACAATGCTGCCAACTGGAAGGTTCTACATATCCCTGTACCGAAGAATAATTTGAAAAGTTCAGTATTTTTAGACTAGCTTTTGTACACGCTCAACTCTGATTGAAATATAAGAGCACATGATAGGTTTCAATCGCAGCAAGTCTGAATAAGAACTATATCAAACTTTCAAGACTCATCAGCTTCACGTGAAATTTCCAAATTCAGAGAAATTTCACTCTTACACTGTCCAATCCAGAATACCACGTATTCTTTGACTAGTATTTTCAATTTCCTGGTATCTGCGGAAATATCCGCGTCTCTAAAACCTCCGCCACTCTGAAACCTTGAACTTAGCAAGCAAAACGAGCAAAATTTATTCCATTTCTCATAAAACGGCGCCTGCATCACACTCGGTACCGTTCATTCAATAGCATTGCACACCACTCACATACGACAGTGAAAATAAATTAAGAAGTGACTTGTCGCTGCCGGAAACACCGGAATCGGGTAGTTTTCGACAACTGCAAACCCCACGACGGTAATAGAAATAGGTTCAACGAACACCAGGAAAATTCCAGACGTTTGACGTTATGCCACAATTGAATGCATTTCGGTCTTTATATAAAAGTGTTTATAGAAATTCTCAAAATGCCATTTCACGAAGCTCAGCGTTCGTATTTCATCGAGTCTGTATATTTTTAATGTATATACCTGTTACTACAGTTACAAATCTCGATCTGTTAATGGATCAAGAATTAACATTCGAAAAACTTATAAAAATTTAATTAAAAACATGATTTCTCTAACTGCGGCCTCTTTCACCGCTTAAATAAATATTGGAGAACAAATTAAATTCAACACTGATAAACTCCATAATTTTTTAATTTGATTATGTTGATATCGCATATTTTCCCTGTTTAAGTGTACAACTTGAAAGCGAATTACAACTTTTACAAATCTCTGCTGAAATAAAAGACATTTCGATCATATACGTCATATATAAAATTCCAATGAATTTCTAAAAATGGACTTCAAGTTTCAATGACAATTTCATGTCTTTATATATAAAATTTTATCAACACCTTGTCCTAAGTATCTGGCCGACCAAACTGTTTTTGAAATAAATAACATTCTCGAAACATTCGCTGAATGCTTAAATGCTGATACTAAAATATCTAAATGTCTTTTTATAATAAAATTATATATATTATATATAATTTTAATAATATTCCTAAAATACTAAATGTCTACGAAGTATCTACGAACTACGAACTCTCACTGATGTTCTCACGAGGAAGGAATCTAGATTACTCGGGAGAGTTAGTACGTCATTCTTTCGATAGTGTAGCTAATGTTATTCTATATATATTCCTCATTGACAATATTTGTGTATATATAATTTTAATAATATTCCTAAAATACTAAATGTCTACGAAGTATCTACGAACTACGAACTCTCACTGATGTTCTCACGAGGAAGGAATCTAGATTACTCGGGAGAGTTAGTACGTCATTCTTTCGATAGTGTAGCTAATGTTATTCTCATTCTGAAGATAGTTCAAGTGCGTTTTGAAAGTTATCAATTCTTGTTTGTTTGAATAAATGTCACTTAGGATTCCTAATAAGGATGAAACAATTGTATGGTATTTTCATTCAACAAGTTCGATAATTTTTTCGGAACGCACGTAAGATCCACTCTCGAAATTGATACGTTCATCCTCATTGACAATATTTGTGTAGACAGCTCCCTGAAAGATTTATTTAAAAGAGAAATATTTCGATTGAGAGTCAGTATTGTATCATATTGTTTTTTTTTCCTAGTATGTTAGCCAATTTTGCCTATGGTAGAAATAATCCAAACTTGAGTGAATTATTACTGATGAGACTCTACGTTAAGGGTTGAAATTTCAAGTAATATCTTTAGGATTCCGTGGTGCAGTTGGTTAGCGCATCGGCCTATGGTGCCTAGGTCGTGGGTTCCATCCCGGGCGGAATTGGCAATTTTTTTTCGATTGAATTCAACAATGGTGGAATTTGCAAAGTGTACTGAAGTTTTGAACATAAAGAATTCCTTGTTTTTTATTATGTATTATAATACTGTATAGTCCTGGTGGTATATACCCACCAGATATCTGAAGAGAGAGGACTAACTTAATATACACAAAGCATGTCAAACAATCATCTAGCTTGTAGTTGAACTAGTGGGTATTGTTTGAAAATATAATACGAAGAGAAGAAAATATATAATACGTCAATGGAATAATAGCATTTGATCTTTGATAGTTTTCAGCTCTACATCATATTTCATCTAATTATAAATTCGAAAGGGTAATAAATTCAATGGACGATGAATCTACTCTGTGATAGTTCATATTCAAATGAGAGGTAATAATAAAACTTGTCTAAAAATCACTGACTCAACAATTCTTTATTCGACTAGTTTCGCCTTTTACAGCATTATCAAAAATGATTCATATGAATCATTCTCATATGAAAGCTGCTAGTTGTGACTACAGTATTCTATTCTCTCACCTCTGTGTTCGTTTTTCGGTGTCAATGTTCTCTGTGCTTCTTGTCAATTCATTCGATTGTTAATTTTGGTTATCATACTGAAACATTTTTATATCTACAATTTCAATTTCTACTGATTATTGTTTTAATTGTTTTAAATTCTGCTTATTTTACTGTTTATTATTATTATTATTTTTTAAATAACATATTCCTGTTGGATGGTTTTTGGCCATACCTTTTATTCTTAGTTTGCCGTAAGTTGTCAAACATAATTTTTACAAGTATAATTGTATGTAAATGTTTTTCAGAGTCCTGATGAAGATTGTAATCACAATCGAAATATAGACCAGGCATCCAAATTGAATAAAACCTATTCATAGTGGCCTTTCATTTGCCTATAACCCATACAATTACATTTAAATTACCAGGCATACTCCTTCTGATTAATATATATATATATATATATATATATATATATATATATATATATATATATATATATATATATATATTAAAAAAGACAATGTCTTCAGCAGAGAATTGCTTTCATTAAATCGTAAGTGCAGTCTGGTGTTCGTTATTCGCCTCATTGGTCTCGTCTGGAGTCGAAAATCGAAAATCAAGGAACGTAGAGTCTCCGGTCCGTCGGAGGTCAGTCGTGCGGACTCCGTACAGATTTCCACTTCTGATTTAGAAATGTGCCCCACAAGACAAATTCCACGTTTGTCTTTGACGTCGTAACCACTGGGTGGGACAGGTTAGTTCCGGCTGTCTCTAAGACGATGTCTTTCGGAGTAATAAGCGCTAATTTTCAAATACGAAATAACGTTATTGCGTGATTCGAATTAATTAGGAGGGGAAGTCTATAATATAGTTTAGAATCCCGATGATATCACTTTAATTCTGTTTATTGCCTTTATTCTCGTTTACGTTGACATGGGCTATCTAGAAACTAGATTTTTGAAAGAATCAGAATTGGAATATAAATTCGAATTCAATTTATCAAAATTCAATATAAAACTGAAAGAGGAGTTGAAATAAAGGACATTCGTTTTGAGCTTCGAAGGCAGAGGGGCCGAGATGATGAAAACTTCATTTCATTAATGATTATTCACCATTATCTGTAATTTGCTAATATGTACTTATATTTTCTGACGTAAAAATTTAGTGCACATTATGAAACACAAGTATTGAAAAGTGTCAAAGTATTTATTTATACAGCAGCTACAATCTGAAGAATTACCCCAATATTCAGGATGTTTAGTATAGGTTAGTTTCCTCTGGTAGTTTCCGAATTCTCTATGATTTCTTGTCCGCAGTTCGAGAAAATAGTTTGATGAGAAAACTTCAGTTAATTATGTATTCTATTGTTTTTTTCCGTAGTATGTTATTCAATTTTGCGTACGGTAGAAAAAATCCAAACCTGAGTGAAATACTACTGGAGAGTGTTACTTTAAGGGTTGAAATTTTAATCACCAGTTTCAGGTTTCCGCGGTGCTGTGGTTAGTGCATCCACCTCATAACCTAATACAAAAGCAAACGATTAATCGTCACACGATATAAATATCAAAAGCAGGTTTTCGCAAATAGTTTCCTGTATAAAAATAAAAAATATATAGATACAACGATAGCGACCAATCAAACAGAAAACATAATTTCCTAAAAACAAAATAAACATCTATACATATATGTACCTTCACATATATCTAGATAAAAATTTGGCAAATTTCAAATAAATGTACAGTAAAACTTAAATGTAGGAACTGTAAAAAATCTGTATCCAATGAAAAATGAATTATGTAATTAGTTTAAGTTATTTAAGGCTAAATTTCTTACATAGCTCGTAGTATCCTCTATATTTTGTAAATGTTTTGTAAATAAAGATTTTGTTGAGTTAAGTTGAGTGCATCCACCTTTGTGCTGTGGGTCGCCGGTTCAATCCCGGGCGGAAATGACAAATTTTTTTCGATTGAATAAATCAACAATGATCGAAATTGCAAAGTGTTTAGAAAATAAAGAAATATTTATTATGCATTATTATACTGTATAGCGCTCGTGACATATACCCACCAGATATCTAAACACAGAGGACTAACTTAATATACAGAAAGCATCTCAAATAATCATCTATCTTGTAGGTAGTTGAACTAGCAGGTATTGTTTGAAAATATAATACGAAGAAATGAAAATATATAATCTATCAATTGAATATTAGCATTTGACCTTTGATAGTTCTCAGCTTCACAGCATATTTCATCTTATTGTGTATTCGAAAGGGTAAGTTCATTTATAATTTAAATCAAACTTTTGGCTGTTTCACAAATATATTGAATAATAATGCAATAAAAATACAATTACAAAGTTACTAATTAATTAGTTATGAGTTATGAACGGGAATAATTCGAATTGTACTTGTTTGTTGACGACCTGTTCTTCTTTATTTCAGGAGTTGCTGATTTCTATGAATTCGAAAAGATCTAAACGAAATATTGGCAACCTTTGACATTTGTGAGCCAGATTTTATTGCATTTTGAAGTAGTGTTCCTAATTTTTAGCGAGAGATATCAGACAAGAAATAATACAACGATGTTATTTTATACAATTTATTGAAATGAAAAAATTACATGAAAAAAATAGGTAAGAACATTATAATTAAATCGTTATATTTGGAATTATTACAAACAACGATATTTCACTATAGCGACACCGAAATCAATGAGGTACTTGGGCTTGAATTTGGGAAATTACCCAACGGTGTTCGGATTAATTCCACTAATACAAAGACGTAACGAATTTTCCGTCGAGTGGCGAAGTATCGCCACTCAGCCTTGTACCATGTTTGGATTAATTGGATTATTTTCATCAATGAAAACAACTGTTCGCATCTATATGTAGGTACCAAAGGCACAAATTGATGTTCTTGGGAGTTTTCTCATTTGCGGAAATTGGTCTTCTTTGAGGTAATTTTTATGAAAATCAAACTACTTCAAGGCTTAAAATTTAGATTTTAGATGTGAGTTTTCTCGAATCTCGATAAACTCCATTAGCAAGTGTATTGTAGCATTTTGTACATTACTTTTTATTGGAGTAACAAATAAATTGAAACAGCCGTCCATGTTTTTGAAATCACAAAATCTGTTCAATAATTACTCCGTATCCGGCCGGGGAAGCGGGTGTTGCCCACTTATGGTTTAAACGTTTTCCTTTACTACCTGTGTGGAAACATTCAGTTTTATTGAAATCTATTGAATTCATACAACTGATGCAATGCTCTGAGAATTCTGGTGTAAAATCGACCTTTTACGTTCATCTGCTCTGGTTTGTATATTTCTCATCTTAGGCGATATAGAAAGCAGGACAATTATTACAGAAAACATTATAGATAGCGTAAAAGTAGTCCTATTGTTATTATTCACTAAATGTGGCTTTATTTCTTTTATTCGTACAAATTATTTTGATTTGTTTCTTCCTCAATGTTTCACATATTTTTTCGATAAAGTGTTGTTTAAATTCAGGAAATAATATTCCTGTTCTGATTTGATATATGATGTGGGATAGATTGATTTTAGCAGATTATTCTGAGGTTTTTCGGTACAAAATGGCCTATTAAAATTTTTTCGTTGAAGTTACTTCTTGTTAATATTTTCGAAGTGTTTATTACTCAATTTATTACTTAAATCTCAAGAAAGAAAAAAGACTTTCTGAACTTTCAATAATTTCATTGTGTTCTTGAAAACACACAATACATATTTTCCAATACCAAAAAGTGCCCATAATAATGATGAAAAGCATATATTTCAAACAGGTTACTACCCAATTACAGGAAAATTCATAATGAACAAATATGGTTACTAAAAATATCAATAACAACGTAGATATACAAATATTGAAAAATAATTATATGATAATATAATAATCAAAATCTATGATGTCAATGTTTATATGAATATTCAATCATAATAATACAGGTCAACGATGAAAAACTTTTTCAATAATTTTATCTAATCCTTATGTTATTGGATGTGCTGAATCCGAAAATAATAATAAAAAAGTTGTGTCATCCACCGATTTCCCAACTTTTTCATATTAAATAAAATTTTGAAAAAATATTCAAAATGTAGGCAAACTATATTCTAGTGTTGAGGTTGGCAATAAAATTATGATATTTATTGGGTAGTTGTAATAATCTGCACAACTTTTTATGTTCTTTCGATTGACATAATCTCTCATTGCAGTGTTAAAACTAAGTGATTTTTGTTCATACTCTAATATGGCTAATCGTGGTGTAAAAATTCTCTCCATATTTTTTGTTACATATGTGTTTTCTTTTTAATTGAAAAACATCAAAGGAACATTACTGATTTTATAAAAAAGTATATTTCGTATATATCGGTGTAGAAATCTGTAATCAAGACAAATGTTGGGTTCATCACAAAGTTTGTTATGTTTGTGTCGAGGATCTTCGGAAGTGGTTTGAGAAGAATAT